GGTGGGGGGGGGGGGGGGGGAAGGTAGGGGGGGGGGGGGAAGGAGACATATGTACTACTCTTTGTAATATTTTAAAAAAAATTTTAAAAATATTTTTTATTGATTTTTTTTTTACAGAGAGGAATGGGGAAGAATAGAGAGTTAGAAACATAGATGAGAGAGAAACATCGATCAGCTGCCTCCTGCACACCCCCAACTGGGGATGTGCCCACAACCAAGGTACATGCCCCCTGCCAGAATTGAACCAGGGACCCTTCAGTCCGCAGGCCGATGCTCTATCCACTGAGCCAAACCGGTTAAGGCACTTTGTAATATATTAAGTAATAATAATAAAAAAAGAATAGGTACTCAATAAATAGTTATTGAATGACTCAAAAAAATAAATGGTGTTGGGAAAATTGGACAGATACATGCAAAAAAAAAAAAATGAAACTAGACCAGCAACTTACACCATACACAAAAATAAACTCAAAATGGATAAAGGACTTAAACGTAAGACGGGAAACCATAAAAATACTAGAGGAATCCACAGGCAGCAAAATCTCAGACATATGTCAGTACCATTTCTTTACTTCTGTCAGAGAAGAATTAGATGCTGGAGAGTAATGAAAGCACAAGGGAAGGAGATTTCTAGAAAAGGCTTTTGGGTACATACATTGGTTCTCCACATTCTCCATCCATAAAGCATAAAAGAGCCAGATACTTTTCTTCAGCTGGCAACTTGGATGTCTTTTGTTGGAATAGAGACAAGGAGTAAATGGCACTCTCTCTATAGAAGGAAGGAAGGGAAGGGAGAGAAGGAAAAGATAAAGGCTACTTTTGAGGACTTTCCATTATAACATTTGATGATATGATGCTGCAGCATTGACTTTGTTTCTCAAACAGCAGCATTGTAAACACAGACTGTTTGAATAAAATTAGGTACCCTCTAGCCAATATGAATATAGGCTTTAATCAACATATAAAAGGGTTCAAAACACATCCAACTAAATTTAACAAATCAATAGGGAAAGGGTTCATTTTTATAAATGCTATTTAGGTAATGGCATCACCATGGGGAAAATTAACAAATCTACATCTCATATAATAATATATCACAATCAATAACAGAAATTAAAGTGTCAAGTATTTAGAAAAAATTAATTATTGGGGAATAAAGGGAGAAAATAGAGCACTTATTCAGGTACTGAGGGAGATAATGTTTGATTAAAGGAGGAAATAAATTACAAAAGGGAAGATAGGCAGTGTGATTGCACAAAATGTTAATACAACTGAAACATAAAACCAAGATAAAAGTTAAGCAACAAAATACACAATTATATTTAATGCATATAGTGACATTTCCAAAATATATTGAGTTTTTAAAACATTTGCATTAAGTTCACTGTGGACATTGCTAAAAAAATATTAAGAATCATTATATAAGATGAAACACTATTAGTAAATTAACATAGAAAAGAGTGTGCAGTCTTGCCAACAGTAAAAGAAGTGCAAATTAAAACAATGATGAAATGTTACATTATACTATACTTCTAAAATTAGCAACAGTAAAGGAACATTATTAAAACTAGTGATGAGACTATTTGAAGAAACTGAAACATTTATACATTCCTAGCGGCATTACAAATTACCTCAGTCAAATTGATGAACAATCTTGTAGTTTTTAGTGAGAGGCATAGAAATATTCATACCTTTTTACTAAATAGTCTCACTCCAGGGTATTTGTCTTAAGGATATAATTCAGAAGGAAAGTATTACATGTTATTTATTATCATAGAAAACTGGATATATCCCAAAACAGCCATTAATAGAGAGATAGTTATAAAATTATGGTACTTTAATAGTATTGCTTGCAACCAATGAAAATGATAAATATGGTTATTGAGATACATGAAAAATTATATACAAAATATTAAATAAAATATTTTAAGTTAAATAAAAACAAATTATAAGAGCTGGTGTTAAGAAGATCTGAAAGGGCTAGAGCTGTTTATTCATATAACATATTAAAATTGACTCACTAGGACTCCCTTACCATGATGGAGCCTCATATTTAAGAGAGTCTCTTGGTAGTTGAGCATGTTAGGAACAATAGAGATGATGGAAATAGAACATTCAATAAAAGTTGAGGAGGGAAACAGATATAAGAAATCTCAGAAAGAGAACAGCCATATTGATTAATACTACACAAAAATAACAGAGGAGAGGGCCCTGTGAAGTTAGAAAGTCTATCTGCTTTATGCCTCTTTCTAAAAGTTGAGTCAAACTAAATTCACATTAAAATGAGCTACAGGAATGTATCAAGGCAAAATCTCATTTAAAGTTACTATAGAAAAAGATAATAAGGAGCAAAATAATATTCTTTATACCATGAAAACACATCAGAAGACATAGCTTAAAGACAGATAAAAATTGTTATGCATTAAAAAAATCAAAATGTATTATGAATATGATAGAAGATATGAAATAATAGTATAAATCAGATTTAGAAAAACTCATGAATAAGGGTCCCAACTCACAAAAGAATTAGAGATAGCAGAAAAAATGAATTTTAGAAATGAAGAATAAACTAAATGAAATACAAGGGTGAATAAACATAACAAATAATGCCTTAAGAGAAAGAGAAGATTAAAAGAAAAATGTTATTTTAATTTTATTTTTACCTCGGCAGTTGTAAACATTATAAAAAGTTTCCTGTCACCATCTTTATTTATTATACTTTGTGATAAAAACACTTAATATAAGATGTACCCTCTAAGCAAATTAAAAAAAAATAAATAAATGAAGAGATGAAATAACTTTAGTGAAAATAGTACATATGGAAGGCAAGAAAGGAAGATCCAACATACCTGAAGAATACCGAGCAAGGGAACAGAACACACACACACACACACACACACACACACACACAGACATGTACATTGAAAAGACATGACCTAGCCAGTTTGACTCAGTGGATAGAGCGTCAGCCTGCAGACCAAAGGGTCCCAGGTTAGATTCCGGTCAAAGGCACATACCTTGGTTGCAGGTTCCTCCCAGGTCTGGGCCCTGGTCAGGGCTCTTGCAGGAGGCAACGAATCAATGTGTTTCTCTCACATCGATGTTTCTCTCTGTCTTTCCCTCTCTCGTCCACTCTCTAAAAATCAATGGAAAAATATTATTGGGTGAGGATAAGAAAGAAAGAAAGAAAGAAAGAAAGAAAGAAAGAAAGAACAACTCACTGTGTACCTAAGAATATTGACCCAGAACGACAAACACTAGGAATAGGTTCTAATAAAATCACTGAACTTTAAAGTAAAATAATTTTTTAGGCATCTTTGATAAAGAGAGCAAGGCTTATAAGAAAAAATTGAATCAGATGTAATCTGACTTTTTAACAACAAAGTTTTAAGCCACAACAGAATTGAGTAATATTTTTAAGATACTCAAGGAAAGAAAATGTGAGCCAAGAAATTTATATCCAGGAACACCAACTTTCCAGTATAGAGGGCACAGATAAATTATTAACATCTAAGATCTAAAATAATATTGATATAAGCACATCTTGAGGAAATAATGGAGAATTATCTTTAGATAGCCAAAAGATCTCTCTATATATCTATAAATATAACAACATAAGGATGAGTTGTGAGCATAAAATATATAGATACTCCAAGAATTAAGTCTAAGTGAGAGTTAAAAGGGAGAGAATATGGAATGGCTATATGATGAGGCATTGTAGATATAGTACAGCCATTAAACACATGGGAGAAGAAAGGGGTTAGTACATCCAAAATGTTTAAACTATTCAATAATACTAGAGGCCTGATGCACAAAAAATTGTGCAAGAGTAGGCCTTCCTTCCCCTGGCTGCCGGCACCGGCTTCCCTCTGGCACCCGGACTTGGGCTTCCCTCCTCCAGCCACTGGCAGGCACCCAGGACCTGGGCTCCTTCCCTCCTCCAGCCACCTGCAGGCACCTGGGACACAGTCTGTCTTCCCTCTGGCCCGGCTTCATCAGGAAGGATGTCTGGAATGACGTCAGAAAGACAGCCAGTCTAATTAGCATATTACCCTTTTATTATTATAGATTGGTGGAGGCAGTAATTGTAGTGTTATGCTGATATTACTATGTGTGTTATATGGAAAAAGCAAACAAATAATTTTGGAATATTGTAAGTCATGTATTCATAATAGAGCTAATATTGCCCCCAAGAGAACAAAAAATCATTATTGTCCAGTGAAAATCTGACAGAGTTCACCTAGTGCAAAAAGCCTCTTCCCTGAGGGTGTTTGTTGAAAATGTTTGCGGACAACTGTTTAACTTTTATTCTGACTGAGGTAGTAAAATGGGCCAAATGATTCACTAATACAAAAGCCAAAAAAGAAAATTTATGGAATGGGATGTCAGTAGGGACTTTGAAAAGCTCCCAACATATTCCTGAACATCTAGAAGGACACACTCATTTGTAGGGCTGTGCACACTCAGTAAAGACATGAAAAGTCCCTAAACTGTCATTGCAGACTGGCATTCATTATTTGACAAGGAAGAAATGAAGGTTAAGGTGTAGTTGCAAACTACTTGGCTGAGTGTTGAAAGAATTCTCCAACAGGCACAAAGAGCCTCCTGGTAAATACTGAGATACTAACTGGTTCCAGGCATTTAAGGAAATTTTTGTCTACTCATTAACTGATCATATGCTAACCTAGCAGAGACTGCAGTGACTATACATAACAAAGAACACAGACTGCAGAATTAGTTCAGAAATTGCACCAAACAAAGGGCAATAACAACAATAAACTGTGGTGATGATTGCAAAGCTTTGTGGATATACTAAAAAAATCACTGAATGCCATACTTTAAAATGATTAATTTTATGATATGTGAATTATATAAAAAATCATTACACTCATATGTGGAATCTAATGAAGCAAATAAGCTGATGGACAAAATAGATCCAGAGGCATAGAAGCATGGAACAGACTGATGAATCTCAGAGGGAAGGTGGGTGGGGTGGAGGGGAAGAGATTAACCAGGGATTTTATGTGCATACTAGAGGCCCAATGCACAAAATTCGTGCAAGGGGCTTGGCCCCTGTCACTGAGGTAGCCACCCCTTCCTCGGCCCCTGCCCGCTGTGGCGGCCGCCTCTGACTCAGACCTCACAGCCCTGGCTTCATCCAGAAGGTCGTCTGGAAGGACATCTGGTCTAATTAGCATATTATGCTTTTATTATATAGGATAAGTATAGCCCATGGACAGAGACAATAGTGTGGTGAAGGCCTGGGGGGTATAGGGTGAAGGGGGTCATTGGGGAAAAAAGGGGACATCTGTAATACTTTCAACAATAAAGATAAATAAAAAATTAAAATAAATTAAAAAATCATTCCAGTCCATAAATTAAAGCAAGATGATAGAATATGATCAGTTTGAAATTAGTGGATGCTAACAAGAGAAAAAAAGAAAACTGGAGACAGATCATGACCTGAATCTACCAGGATATGCAGAGGAACATGTTGAAATGTACTATGAGTATGCAGTCAGCAACATGCAGACAATACAGAACTCTGCAGGCAAAACAGCATGAATTCTTTGGCACATATATAGTAGAGCATATAAATGGATGGAGGGAGAGCCTATAGAGTAAAGTAAGTGAATTAAGCCAGTCATAGAAAGACAGATACCATATGATCTCACTAATATGTGGAATTAAATGAACAAAATAAACTGACAAACAAAATGGAACCAGAGGCATGGATACATGGAACAAACTGGCAGGTGCCCGAAGGGATGGGTTGGAGGTGACTGGATAAAGAAGGTGAAGGGATTAGCTAAAGAACACTGGAGAGCATTATGCTAAGTGAAATAAGCCAGTCAATGAAAGAAAAATACCACATGATCTCACTCATTTATGGATAATTAAGACCATTATAAACTGATGAACAAAAATAGATACAGAGGCAGAGCAACATCGAACAGACTGTCAAACTACAGCGGGAAGGCCAGGGAGAATTGGGGGGGTGGGTAAGAGATCAACGAAGGACTTGTATGCATGCATATAAGCATAACCAATGGACACAAGACACTGGGGGGTATGGGAGGCTAGGGGAAGGTCAAGGGGAGAAAAAAAAA